TTTATATAAAATGGAGTACTATTTGCATAGAACCTACACACACCCTGCCATATACTTTAAATCACCTATAGGTTACTTATAATACCTAATACAATGTAAATGCTATGTTAATAATTGTTATATTATATTTTCAAATCTATATTTTTTATTGTTGTATTTTTTTTTAAATACTTTCAATCCACGGTTGAATCTGTGGGCACATGCAGAGGGTCAACTGTATTTATTAAATGGCTTTAAAGTTCATTTGCAAAAAAAAAGAAATACTATGAAAAATGCAATTTAAAAAAATTAAAGCAAGGCATATTATAAGCCACAGAAATTAAGAGTTGCATTGTGGTAGGCTACATAGACCAATGAAATGAGAACATAAAGTACATATAAGGATTTTAGAGGTTTTTTAAATAAATGCTAATTTATTAAATGGTAACATTGCTCAATGTATAGAGGAAGACAATTAATATGGGATAATAATACAAAAAGTTAAGCATTAGAGAAAAAAATTACACTTGATATGCCAAAAGTTGGGAAGGGATCCCAGACTAAGTAAAGATTATCATCCTAAAAGACATGCAACCAGAGCTACTTCCTATGGGTAAGTGGTTGAGTATATAACTTGCATGCCCACATACAGTAACCTTGAAAGCAACATTTCTCTTCACTCATAATATGTCTTATATCCAAAGAAAAAGAATGTCATGGGTTTTGGCCTTTCAATTCTATGAAATATCTAGAATCCTAAAGCTTCTGGAGCAAATCAATTTATTTGCTTAAAAGACTATAGTGAACTGTACTCTCTTTAAAATTTGTCTCATCCTGTTATCTAGCAATATTAGACATCTGTATTTTTAAAGTCCAATATTCATCTCATTTTATCCTTCCCCTTGACGTCAGACAGGAACAGAGGGAAATAAGCAAAATTCCCCCATGTTGTCTTTTTCAGCCAACAACTCCAAATTAGAATTTTTTCACTATAATGTTTATTAAAATGTAGTTTTAGCAGTCTTGATGCAAATCTATTATAATCTTGACCCTCTAAGTAATAATTACATTTTTGAACAAGAAGCTGAGAAATATGTTGAACTGAAAAAAATTTTCTGTATCCTCACTGTAATGGAGGTAGACTGAAGGTTACCCAACTAGTGTAAACTTTTCAAAATTCATAGATGATGTACCTAAAAAGGGTGACTTTTATTTTATGTAAATATATCTCTAAATAAATAAAATATTTTTTATTTCTTTGAGAATGTTAAACTTTTTCTTCTGTCTTCATCATCTCTATTTCCTCCAAGTAGTTTTTTTTCTTCCCTAGTGTATTTTGGCATCTGTTTTTAATATTAATAGTATAAGTTTTCATTACATGTTAGGTGACCTTTGACTGTCCACCAGGGGCAGGATGCTAAAACAATGACATTAAGTGCTTTGCCCAGTGGTTAAGGCTTGTCAACTATGGCTTTACTTTGGGTGCTGTGGCCATTTCTTTGTGGTACCTCTAATCTCAAGTTTCTTCAATGTTGTCTCTTGTATTGGCAGAGTCCTCTTATCTGCATAGATTTATTCCTCTCTAAGATCTCTACAACTGCATGTAAATATTTCCTCAACTCCCCTTTACTTCAGTAGCATCCCCACTCTCATTTGTAAGCTGTGTCCTCCTTTGTAGAATCCTTCTGTTTAACCCTCTCCAGAGAACAAATCCCCAGTCTTCTGCAAAGGTAGTGAAAAGACAGTTCCTCAACTGTTGTGGAAGGGGATGTTAATTGCTGTTGTTATTTTATTGAGGTGAAATTCTTGTAACATATAATTAACTATTTTAAAGTACAGAAATCAGTAGTACTTAGGATACTTGCAATATTGTGCCTCACCACCTCTATCAAGTTCCAAAACATTTTCATTATGCCAAAAGAAAACCCTGTACCCATTAAGCAGTCACTCTCCACTCCTGTCTCTCCCCAGTCCCTGACAACCTCCAGTCAGTTTTCAATCTCTACAGATTTGTCTATTCTGCACATTTCATATAACCATACACTATGTGGTCTTTTGGGATTGGCTTTTTTTACTTATGTTGGCATGACATTTTTGAGGTTCACACGGTGTTGTAGCATGTACCAGTACTTCATTCTCTTTATGGCTGAATGATATTCTATTGTATGGCTGTACCACATTTTGTTTATTCTTTCATCATGTGAGTTGTTTCCAACTTTTAGCTATTGTAAATAATGCTGCTATAAGCACTTGCATACAAGCATTTTGGTTGAATACCTGTTTTCAATTTTTCTGGCGACATGTGTAGGAGTGAAAATTGCTAGGCCTATGTTTAATTTGGTCTCGTTGCTTTTTAAACAGACTTTCAACCAATACTTTCATTTTCAACCCAGCCTCAACCCTCTCAGCATACTTCCAAAGTACTTGGCACCATTTCCTGAACCTATAGGGGTTGTGTGATCCATCCTAGGTTAGTTCTGTATTTTCTACAATGCTGTCTCAGAATTCAACATTCTCAAGTTGACTAGGTGACTTATTGCTCATCTATCTACTTTAAGCTTCAAATCTTGTTGTTGCTATCTGTTCTCCCATTCCTTTTATCTTAGTAGGTTTTATCTTAGTAGGTTTATGCTTTCATTCTATCATGTCATTTAAATCAATTTCAGAAGGAGAGAAGGAATAAAACATACGCTCAATCTTCCACTTTAAATCCATAATAAACAGTTTAATATTACCCATCTACTATATCCATCTATATCCATCCAATTTAAAGGCCACGTACAATGCATCATGGGGAATATAAGCATATATATAGAAGACAACTTCTATTTTCAGTAAGCTGATAAACTGGTCAATGAGATGTAGTAATGAGGGTCATTTTCTTACACATGCTTAACACACACATGAATGCTGAAGTTCTGTTATATTCTTATACAGTAAACATTTAGAGGACTTAAAGGTAAAATCCACACCTGTAGGTAGCTCAGATCTCACATAAAGTAAAAAGTCACCCCTGGCATCAATCACCAGGAAAAAGAAAGACTCTCAATGAGAAATAGGAATTGAAAAGAAAGTGGACTCTAGAAAACCAAGAGTAGAGACTCCAACCTCTTTGAATATTTGACTCCAGGACCAGACCCAAAAGTGTCTAGGTATATATTAAACATGGTCATTGCCACATAGAAGTGAGCTAACACACAGAAGGAAGACACAGATACTTAAACTGAATCACACACCGAAGACATAGCAGACTTTGAAATTAGAGTAATTAGAACCATACAATGATTTTCCATTTTATTATCCTCTATTTTCATAGAGTCTTGTTGGAAAGTTGTAATTCTGTCTCACCTATAATACTGTGACAATTATTTACACACATGGGCCAGCGGTTAAGAAGAAACAGCAGTCTCTTCAGCAGTGGGAGGCCTGAGGGATTGTTATCTCTCAGAAAATATGGTCTAAATATTTTTTCAAACACACTATTGGGAGATACCTTCTCAGTGCCAACTTGAGAAATTCTGGATTTTATTTTTTTATAAATGAAAGTGCCCTTTTATCATAGAAATTAGGTACACAAATATTATGTGCACATTTACTGGTTATCTGGCCTCTTTAAGCCTTAGTTTCCTATTTTAAAAGTGGGGATAATAATAAATATCTCACAGGGCAATAGAGAGGATAAAATAATCTTGGTAACATACCACAATGTTTCACATATACCAAGTGCTTAAAAAATTACTATTGGCAGATCCCAGTATGACTACTTTTCTATTCCTTCTGCCATTATTATTATAAGGCAACCACAAAAAAAGTACATGGTGAGGAGATAGAAATCACGCTGAGCTGCTGTGCTAAGCAGCAGCTTCCCAGGAGAAGCAAGATTTTTAGCTAGGATTTAAGAAGATGATCATTTTAGAGAGTGAATTATGTCATGAAACAACTGAAGGGAAACTACAAGTTCTTTTGGATGCAAGAACACTTTTAGATTTAGATTAATGTAAAAATTTCATATATATCTCTCCAGGTATAAATTTCAAGAACAGCCAATGAAATCTGATGATAATATTTAAGGAAAAAATTAAATAACAGGTCCATTACTAACCAAGCGGTCTAAATATTCACCTATTATACAGAAAAATGCACTGACCTGATCTAACATATTATGATACCAACTGCTTTCCTGAGATGCATCAAAGTATCTTAATTTCTTCACACACAAGATTTTGACTATTCCACATTACAGAAATCAAAGCAATCAGATACAACCAAAACCAAAGCAGGCTGTTTTAAGTAAAACATGATCAAATGACAACTCTATTAGCAAGACGAGAAACTAGCCATTTGACAAATATTTGGCACTAAACTGAAAGTCTGTGTACATTCATAAATTTGTATTACAAATATTTTGTTACTATATTACTTTTTGCCAACAAAAAGCTTTAATAATATTTTGTAACAATAATAAAAGATCTTATTGAGACAGAGTCTCACTCTGTCAGCCCAGGCTGGAGTGCAGTGGCATGATCTCGACTCACTGTAACCTCTGCCTCCTGGGTTCAAGCAATTCCCTACCTCAGCCTCCTGAGCAGCTTGGATTACAAGCCCCTGCCACCATGCCCCACTAATTCTTGTATTTTTAGTAGAGACGGAGTTTCACCATCTTGGCCAGGCTAGTCTTGAACTCCTGACCTCGTGATCCACCCGCCTCGGCCTCCCAAAGTGCTGGGATTACAGGCTTCAGCCACCGCACCCAGTCTATTATTTTTATTACTGAACTCTCTGGCATTTAATGTTGCTAAAGACTTTGTGGGTTAACTTTCCTCTATAGAATAGTAGTGTTCTTTAAAATAGTACAATATTCTTCCTCTTCTTTTCCATAATCACTTTCTTTCTAATATGCCAATTCTTATGCATGTAGTGTAACTTTAAATTTTCTTTGATATTTAGAATATTTAGCATGCCACACATGCTGTCCAAAACATCAAAATCACATGTTTTTGTGATGGTTCATAGTTTCTTACCTGCACTTCTCAAATTAGGGTCCAGTCCTGGCATCTCTTTGTTAGCTTCAGGGCTGACACTGTAGATTGATGCTCCTGCTTCACTGACGATACTGAGAAGACAGAAAAAGGGGAATATCATTTTCCAAACTTCCTGCCTGGTCAAAGAAAATAAAGGAATGAAACCAGGCACTACAAGAAAAAAAAAAAAAACAGGGCAAAGTGTTCTCTTCATATCTCAATGATACTGACAGCATCTGATATTTTATTAATATAAAATGATGATGCAGTGTTTGTTTTTTTCACATATGAAATACACAGACTTAAATCCATAATGAATTCAATCAGTTGCTTTCTCTGTCACTGGTAACAATAGATGGTTTACAGATTAATACAATGAATACTCTCCCATGATGCCAACATCAAAATTTTCAGAATGCACTTAGCCTCTCCTGTGTTTATAATCCATATTGACTGACATTTATGATTCTTATCTGGATGAATCATTCTAAGGCATCTTGGAGAGCATATGGACATATGTGTGCATATGTGCACATGCAGACATACAAAAAACCACCATCATAAGCACTGTTACTGTTATTACCTGGTTATAATTTACAACCACAACATGGAAAAAAAAAAGAGGATCAGACAGGATGTCATCCGACTTTTCAGGAGGGTCTGAAAATCATCATCCTTTCAGTGAACTTAAAGCCTTCCACTCAAGCAGGTGTTAATTCATTTCATCATTTATTTAATCAAATAGTCACACAAATCATTCTCTTTCATTCTCTTCCTTTCTTCTTTGGCTACAAATACCATAGAAACCGCAATGAGAATACTGTCTTACAGCTGACATTTGTATGGGGATTGCCATTTGTACAGCTTATCAGAAATTTTTACATTAGAGTTCTCCTTTATGATATGACATGCAAAGAAACATCATCTATTCTAAGTACACACAATACATGTGGTTCTACACCACGTGACCATGTAGGTGTCAATATTCAAAACCAGAAACATGTTAGGACTCACTTTTTAATCCACTCTTAGCAACCTCCCTCTTTCTCTGCTCCTCAGTATTTACTTCAATTGTATGAGGCAAATTTAACGGATGACATTTAACATATTGCCCCACTGTAACAACTGAACATTGAGAAGTATAATGTGGAAAAGTTAGTTTGCTATCCCCATCTTTGGAGAATTCTTGAATAAATTTTTATGACAAATGTAAGCCACCATAACTTGAAAAGATTATTCTGGGGAATGTGAGGACTTCTCTTTCTGCAAGCAAGATCTACTATCTTAAATTTAAATAGAAAAAAATAAACACTACAACTGAAAAGCAAGCTGCTCATCCTGTTTTTCATCATCACCATCATCATGATACAGTAAGAACTAACTGAGTGCATATTATACACAAAGCAAAAAAACACTTTACAGACATTATCTCATTTAACAGAGTAGGTTCCATTTTGGGGATAAGTAATAAGCCCAAGATCATATAGCTGGAAAGGAACTGAGTTAGATTTGGACCCTAACCTGCTTGATTTCCAAGTCTGAGACTTAACCAGCACAACCAGGTAACCCTTAAATAGTTTCTCAAACTCTCAATAAAATGAGAATTCATATTTTTGTGCCAAACAACAAATGCAACATATTTTCTAAGGAAGAGCTATTTTCCTAAACAAAAGATCCAGAAGAACTCATCTCTTTCTTCTTTTACCTTTATCTTAGATCAAAAGGTAAAGTGGATTGTTTACTTATCTAAAGCAGAACTTAAGGACATATAGGAGTCAAAATGTGTTCCACAATTTCAGAGACCAGCTTTAAAATTAAAAGGTAATATTGCTTTTTCTCCAAAATAAGATTTAGATTATGCTTATCTTCTAATAATATAATGATCAAGGAGAAAATGTAATGTTAAATAAAGCTTGTAGTGAAGAAAATGTAGTGTGACATAATAATGTGATGTTAAAACTAACTTAAGAAGTGATTTTTTCAGTTCCATTATAGTGGCATTTCCTAACCGGGGGCCCTTGGACTACTGGGCAGGGAGAGGCAGGATTAATCAGAACTGTACGTAAAATGTTTGTGTTTATATACATTTCCCCCCTAGGAAAACAGGCTCTAGCATTCATTGACTACTTAGAGAAATTCATGACCCCCTGAAAGGTTAAGAAACGGTACTTAACCCAGGATAAGAATATTTAGCAACCAGCTATGGAAAATTCAGTTTTAAATACAAATCAACATTCAATCTAAGAAAGTCTTTTCTAAAAAGACAGAGTATCCATAAAAGTACAGGCTAGACCTATTATTAAGAGAAAAGAATATTTTTTAAAATATCACCACAGATTTATTTTCTATCACTTCCAGAAGCCTCCCAAGTTACAACAATTTAAATAAAAGGAACTTAAACGGTAAATAAAAATTCCAATTAACTGTGGTTTTTAGCAACTGGGTACCTGAGAATTTGCCGGGCTCTTGGAGGTTATAATTTTCAATAGACTGAGAGAAACTATTGCAAAGAAAAACACTCAGATAATAAATATTCCTCCAAATACCATACTGCCATTTCTTTTAAACAGAGGAATATAAAACAGATGTGACACATTGCACCCAAAGATTTTGGATTAACATTAATATTAAATCAATACAAAATGTAGTAAATTTCATATGCTTTAGTTACTGAATAGTAAGTGTCTGATAAACAGTTCAGTGCTCAGCATAGATCAGAAATCTTAAAAACCTAAATAACAGAAAAACCTCAACATTGAGTACTTCAATATAAAACCTTTAAGGACCAAAGAAGTATATGTGACAAGAATTCATGAAACAAATCAAACTGGGAGAGGTGATGATTTTTTTCCAGACGTTGTTAAGAACAAAAGCTATAATACCCTCCTTTTTTCATTCCTATTTAAGAGTTCAAGAATAGACACTTGCCGAAAATATACTAGATTTACAAAAACACTTTCTGTTTGATGGGAAATTTTCCAATAAACTATTGGGAAATTATTCCAATTATCTCTAATATATTTTGAAGAAAGTAAAAATGAACTTTATATAAAATTCATACATCTAACGATTTAATATTACATTTCACGAAACAAATTTCTCACCAGTACAAACAAATTAGGCTCAAAATTCTAGCAATTTGATTATTTTATGTATTTTGCCATGAAGCAAATAAGACTGAGCAGAATTTATTATTTGGGGGGATTTTAACTGCCACAGTTGTAATTCAACTCATTATTTACAGATTATTACAGTACTCAGAAGGCCCTTCAAATTGCTATAGTTGAGACCTTCACCTAAACCAATACATTAGTATTTCAAGCTTTAGATATAAGAAATTACACTTCAGAAGCTACCACTGAATTTACATTTTACGAGATCTATAATATGACAATTCTCTATAATTAAATTGATAATTAAAAAGATTTTATTTAAGCACTATTTTTAGGATTTTTATTTTAAGGAAATAAACCACACACTTATAAACTAAAAAGCAAGTAAAGTACCTACAATATCAATGCATTCACTTTCGTATTTTTTGACAAAAACCTTATGAGTTAAAAATGCTAAGTTTTATTTAATTAATTTATTTTTTTGAGACAGAGTCTCGCTCTGTTGCCCAAACTGGAGTGCTATGGCGTGATCTCGGTTCACTACAACCTCCACCTCCCAGGTTCAAGTGATTCTCCTGCCTCAGCCTCCCAAGTAGCTGGGATTATAGGCACCCACCACCATGCCCGGCTAATTTTTGTATTTTTGGTAGAGACGGGATTTCACCATGTTGGTCAGGCTGATCAGAATCCCTGACCTCAGGTGATCCACCCGCCTCAGCCTCCCAAAGTGCTGGGATCACAGGCATGAGTCACCATGCCTGGCACAAAAATGCTAAGTTTTATCTTAGGTAAAATTCAATGGTGTTACTTACATAAAGCGAATCATTAATCAATATAATTTGTTTTCTTTATAAAAGATGTATGTTTAAACAACAGAATTGATATCGCTACAGTTTACAAGTCTTTTCTACCATGACAGATTGTAAATTGATGGACCTTTTAAAACTAGGTTTCCCAAAACATTTCTTACAGTGACTATTCATTCTGACAGTAAGGAATGTTATTATCATTATTATATTTTGCCAAATTGAGATGGGAAGGTGAGATTATTTTCATGAGAAAGAAAAACTAGTTTTTTTTTTTTTTTAAGTTATTGGGCTAACAGTTTTCACATTCATTTACAAGATTTCATGAAGACTCTGCATGAATTTCTTTTCTTCCGATTTCTCAAATATGTAAATAACTTGGTTTTTCTGATTTTAAAAAAAATTACATGCCTTCTTATGTTAACAGAAGAACTTAATTTAAAGGTAATTTGCTTAAATAAAAATGCAGTTATTTAGTAAGATACCAAAAATCAACTGGGATATAATTTCTCAATACTGACTGATATGTTTTTAATTCTTTGCAAAAGTATATTAGAATTCTTCAAGTTCTACAAATATCTAGCATCTTCCTCTTTTCCTTCCTTCTGTCTATCAAAAACAAATGTATTAAAAAGCTACTATGCCAAATCCCTAGCTCATCTCAAAGTTTTAAAAATAATTTATCTAAAAAACATTCTTCCAACTTGTCAGACTGAGAAACGTATCATGAGAGATTAAATGACTTGCACTAGGTTTCTCAACAAGTAATAGAAAGCACTAAAAACATGAGCCAACATAAATCTTAATTATTTGCATAAGCGATAACCTGTTCTGAAGTATCAAAAGAATAACTGTTTGTATTTTAGGGCTAGGAGACAAGGCCAAAAACTAAACTACCACAAATAATAAGGGTTCTAAGATTTAATGCTTAAAGGGTACAGCTTACTTCTAAGAAAATATCAAAGCAATTTTAAATTCTTTTACTTAATGATGAATTATCATTTCAGGGATTCTCAAATGAGCAATATCTAGTCACCTTAAAAACTTAGGTAGGGCCAGCACGGTGGCGCACGCCTGTAATCTCAGCACTTTGGGAGGCCCAGGTGGGTGGATCACCTGGGGTCAGGAGTTCAAGACCAGCCTGACTAACATGGTGAATCCCGGTCTCTACTA